AGCAAGATGCACAGTAGCAATAAAATCTGGTATGCAGCAAGCTGCCTGCTGTTAAACAGCATAGCTGAGTTCCCTCTGCCTTTCCTGTCCCTGCTGGGCTCGAGAACAAGGGAGGAAGGGCAAGAGTGCACACTGATAGCTGGTATTTCTGTGCTAACAGGAACAGTGTTATTGAATTTCCACCAAGCTTTAGTGAAATTCTGCATTCTCACACATCTGGCTGAATTTGTACATCATCTCAAAGCAGAGATTGCTGATTTTACAGACTGGTGAAACACATAATCCAGGGAAGCCCTTAACATGACTTTTTAGCATTAAAAAAAAGCCCCAAAGTCTGAAAGGGTAAGGTAGGCCCTTCTATGACAGCACAAATGTGTAACTTAAAGAACAAGTTAGTTCAAATCTCATTATTCCCCAAGACATTATTTTTCCCTCCCACTTCTGCACCTTCCCCCAATCAGAGGAGGGGATAAAGCTCAAGGAGAAATGACAAACACAGACCTAATGTAGTGACTCTGACCGAGAGACTGTAAATGTAACTCTGCACTGCAGTATGACTAGAGCATTGGAAGCATCTGAGCAGCTGCAGGCACGTAGCTGGTTGAAAGTTTGTCTCTAAGCACATTATAATTTTGTGTGGAAAGTATGGTACCATAAATCTGTTAGTCCCATTGAATAACAGCGTGTCCAAGAGAGCACATCATCAAAATTAACATAAGAAAGAAACAGCAGGAGGCAGTTCCTCTAACGCCTATCCAGACAGAGGTTTTTTTGTGAACGCTGCTTTGTTTGCGTTTAGCATTGATGCAAAAGAAAATAAGTTAGCTAAACTGAAATTACATGATACACTTAACACCTTTTAACAAAGAAAAAACCGCCAGAAAACCAACAAAAAAAACCCCAACAAAACAAAACCAGCTGAAATGTGTAATACAAAGCCAAACAATGGAAGAGACAGAACAAATAGAACGCTTGACAAGATAAAAATACATGGATATAAAAGTGCATTAGTACAGCTCAAAATACATAGAATAAGAGCACTTGTTTATTAGGAAACAAGTCGAATAAGCTTTAGCGACTCTTTCAACACGTACTGGTCTGTTGCAGACTTTAATCCCAAACACAGACAGCATCCCTCACCATTTTCTCTCTTTTTATAAGGCAAAATAGGGTTGTTGGGATTTTTCACACAAGTTAAGGCACAGGTAGTTTGATTTTGCAATAGATCTGAAACAAAAATGTTGGTAAGGACCAGGGACAGTCAAGGTCAGCTAGCAATGCTTTTGTTTCTTTTTAATGAAAACTATTACCTACTTCTTTGGTATTGCATGCTAATCAAGCTTTCTGCCTAGCTATAAAAGCTTTTTGTTATTAACTCATGAAACTTGAATGACTAACTCCTCAGCAGGAGTCAATGTTTAAGCATTACATATAAGACAAATACCTCCAGGTGCTTCTTCAACTACTACTGTTTGATGAAAATCAACACCACAAGCAGGTAAGTTGCCCTGTCAGTGCCCAGAGCTTCCTTGCACTGTGACAGCAGTATCAGCCCCAACATGTCCATACTACACTCAGTGACGGATGAGCCCAGAAGTCATTTTCACATCTGCCAAAAGTGAAGGACAATTAGAAGGCTAACAACTTGAGCTGAGAGTGCTACTAAAAATAATTATGTGCAGATTACAGTATTTAGGGAAAACCCAACTCCACAGGCAGCACAAGATGAAGTTGGTAAATTTGAAAGCATAAGATGCTTATTATTTTGTGCAAGGAAACACATATTCATTATATATTCACAAAACATACTTTGTATGCAACAGCAAATTAGAAGTCCTTAAAAAAAAAAAGCACCAACCCAGAATATGAGAATTCATTACAAAGGATTTTAAAAATTTGCACCATGCAGAGCTTTCCAAATCTGTAATACCCTAGTTTAAAATAGTATTTCTACAGATGAAAGAAATACTGGTTTTGAAACATGACTAATATTGAAAGTAATTCACTATCTGGGCATTTACTGGCAAAGACAAAAGAGATGCCACAGGCATTAACTCAGGGGACAAAACACGGTTCTGTCTCATTCCAGATTGTCAAAACTTCCTGATAGGTCAAGAGCTAGTCATGGGTAGAATGCCAATCTCTCTGGTTATCATCTATCCCTTCTTTCCAGGCATTTGGACATGCCAAGTTGACGGTAATCAAAACACTGGTAATTTCCACCATGAATACAAGGAAAATGCTATGCTTGCAAAATGAAAAACCAGTGGAACTACCATGGCAAAGTCAAAGGGCAAAACTGTCTGCATAAGGTCTACCTCAGAGCCACCTCTTCATACTTAAGGAATACAGACTGGATTTAGAAAATGATAGGTGAACACAGAGAAGGGCACTGAATCTCAAAATACTATCTGGAATGCTGTATGAAGAAAGTGTCATCTCTGCCTTTGCATTTATGCTGTATGTGGCAAATTCGGGATGTACCTGTAATACGAATGTTACCGCTAACCTCCATTTAGGAAGCAGGGAAGGAAAACAGAGGCAACAACAAAACAACTTCCTAGGATTAAGTTTTAGTAGTGCTGTGGTTTGAGTAACCGATGCTGCAGTTTTGTATCCTAGACAATTGTGTCAAGCTGCCTTCTCCCACCTAAAGTTATTACAGCAGACTAATAGGGGAAAAGGTACAAAAACCCCAACCCTGAGAACTACTCACAAGCTACTCCCCTTCACATTTGTTTTCATCTAGCTCTAGGACACTGGAAGAAAGACTTACCCATAAAATACCAAGTATTTAATAAAGGCTAGAGTGAAGCTTTGAATGACTACTATGCCATTCTTCCAAGAGAAATACATGGCTACAGTATATGCAGACACATCAAGACTTTTCCCCATCTGAAGTATTTTGGCTAAATTCAGTGTTTATAGGTATGAATCCCAATTTAAAAAACAAACAAACAAACAAACAGCTCAAAAGTTTTCAATTACTGAAATACCTTTAATATGCATGCACAAAAAGTATATCAGAACAACTCGTTACTTTGAGCCTTAATTAAAATTAATTGCTCTGGAATTACTGCAGTCCACTTTTTTCAACTTCTTCTTCGAAAAGCAGCCCAAGACCTGTGACAAAAGTAGATTAAAAAAATTGTCACAGGTAAGGTAAGAGCAGAAAGCTCTTAAGTAACTTGATTTTGATTTGCCTGTGTCTTTAAAATCCACAAAATCTATTTTTCAGGTTTTATCTGATACATAAAAAGACGGCAACTGCTTAACAATACACGAACGTGAACACAGCTCAACCTTCAGGAATGGAAGTGGCTGAGCAATCTGCATAGATTACCTGAACTGATTTTTCTAAGAAGTAAAAAACACATTCAAGAGGTTTTAAAGCTTAAATAGTGGATTGCATATTCATACAAACAGAAAAAGCGTCTACTCCAGAAACTGAAAAACCTGGAAATAAGATTTTATGGAACGCTGCGATTCCTCACAAAAGTTTCCTGACCTAGATTGAGTTAGGGAATCAATATACTTGAATTAGAAGGTTGACATCTAAACTAGAGCTGTCTTTTACTCTCATACCAGAATTCTTTTTTTTTTTTTTTTTTACATCACAGCTTCTTGAGTTTTGCAGTATTGAAGCCTAAATAAGACTGTACTTCACAGGAACTCACCTGAAATTGAGGGTTTGGAGTTTTTTTGGTTTGTTGTTGGTTTTATTTTTTTGTTTGTGATTTGTTTTAAAATTAAAACCCACTGTCTTAGCAAAGCTCAACATACTTCTACTGGCAACGTTAACCCTGAAAATGACAATCTCTTTAGAAATACCTTACCCCCAAGAGATTTAGTTCTTTAAGGTAGCAACAGTGATGCCATTTACTACTTGAAATAATAAAGCCAGAAACAACTATGTACTTTTCACTGATCTTTCATATTAAGGCCAGCCTGAACTAATTCCAGCCTCTCACCTAAGCTCCTCTCTTTTCAAGTGTATGAATGGCACCGTATTTTTTGACAAAACTGAGATTATAGTCACATTTGCAATTAAGTCCATTTAATATTAAATTCCATGGATTTATGTTACAGGAATTATCCAACTATCAAGCTTCATTTACAAGTTTTCAGGCTTGCACTTGTGCATGTCAGATTTCTAACTCTGAAGACATTGTTCATAGTAATCTACAGTTCTCAAGTCACAGAGAAGAGGCAGTGTTGCCCTATGCTGCTGTACTCCTCACTTTATAAAGAAGTTACTGTGAAAGCAAGAGAGTCACTAGATTGATCCAGTTCCAGTTTACACCAAGATTAATATACTGTTCCTTTAATAGTAGGCCCACAAATTAAATACCTCAAGATGACAGCCTGGAGAAAAAGACAGAAGCCCTACTGATAAGCATAAATAAAAGAGGTCTGATTGCAATTTGAAGCCCTGCATCTTTTAAGTTAACTTCTTCCTTACATAGCACCCCAGGCACACCATCAGGGTGCGCCTTCCACTTTTCAACAATACTTAGGAACATAGTAATTTATCTGAAATCTGTTTATTGTGCTTCATAGTATTGCTATTTCTAATAATAGTAACATTAGTAAACACTTAAGTTATATTTTGCCTTGCACTGATGGTTTCAAACATAAGATACAAAAATGTTACAGCAAAAGGACAGTATTGAAAAGGTGTCAGAGACACAGGAAATAAAAGTTTTACTGTACAGGCCAATAGTGACAAAGACAAATGAACACTTCAGTACAAAAGTGTAGGAATTCTACAAAAAAAGGTTTAAATGGTGAAGGAGAGGTTCTGAACACAACAGCAGCACTCCTTCAGCTTTGGGACTGTCTGTGCAAATGCAGCATTAATACCTGTATTTACAAAACAGAGGTAAGAAAACAGCTCCTACAGTGGTAAGTCACAGGCATTATCTTGTTAAGATCAGGGTTTCTGCTACTCATGGAAAAGAGTCAGGTGTAAAGTTCATGCACTTATGCTACTCTGCAGCTTAAGAGAGTGTTGCCAGCTTGTCAATTAAATCATCAACAGTGTTCACAAGAAGTTTTATATCCTCCTTCTCACTCATCCGATGTTGGCCAGTTTTGCGGAGGATAACATCCACATCTTTGCTCAAAACACGATCAGCAACTTGCATAGAGATCTGCCAAGGGACATCACTGTCCTTCATGCCATGAATAAGTCGTATGGGACATGTTACAGGAATAGGGCTATTCAGCAAACAGTGATTTTCTGCTTCTTGGATAATGTTATATCTCAAGGAGTAATATCCTTCCTCATTATGCCTTGTTGGAAACCTCCATTCGCCTTTTTCTTCTATTTCTTTTTGTGCCTATAGAAAAAAAAAAGAGCAAAGAATAGACAAGACAGATGTTACAAGCTCTCTGTAGCACCTCAACTTATTTCTGTTCTAAATGCAGCAAAACTTCATCTGGCATAAAATTTCACTTTGTTCACTTTTATTAGCAGAGGAGCTATATTCCCGTTTGCCTTCCAACATCTGAAAAGACAAGCCCCCCTACCGTGTCACAAAAGCTACTCTGCATGCCTCTCCTGCAAATTAATCTCATTAGGATTCACCACGGAAATGAAGTTTCTCAGTCAGAATCTATCAGAAAGAAAAAGATGTAGAACCACCATGAACAGTGAGTCTCTTTGGCTTTCATCAGTTCACTTCAAACATGAAGAATCCTAGGAAAAAAGAATTTTCCAGTGATGTGTCTTTTTCAGTCTTTGCCACAATAGCTATGTCTAAACACCACATTTCCAGAATCTTTCCTAAGGTACTATGAAGTGCCTTAGAAAACAAAACAAAACAGGAAAATACTTTAATTATTCTAAGGTAGAGTTATTTATTGCTGTATTTATTTGTCACATTTTAACACCTGACTTACTTTCCTTAAAACTGGACATCATTATCAAGGAAGCGACTCAAAAGAGACTTCCCACTACCTAAATCTTGCAGTCTTTACAAACACGCTAATCTGAAGACTTCTCTTTCTACATACACAACCTGGGTCAGACTCACCTCACCCAATGTCGTCTCAAATACTTCAGCAGCTACTTCCCCATCCTTGAAAGCACAGGGATCCAATTTGAATGCAAATATAAGGTAGTCAACACTGAAATCACATGGACCCTAACTTCGTGTCCTATATGCTACAGTAATATAAACACGTTCCAGGTAGCGCTCACACTAGCTTTATAACTTGAAGCACAGTATACTGCAGACTTCCAGATTAATGTAAATTTTCAGCCCTTCTCCACTACCAACACAGAAAATTTACAGAAAGACTTGCAAGAAAAGTACAGTTTGAACAACAGAATTTCTTAAATGCGTGACAGATTTTTAGATTGCACAAAAGCCAACAGTCAACACCTACCTCAATGGGAAGCTGCTTAAAAGTTGTTACAAGATAGTCTGCTGCTGCAGCTACTCCAACTAGAGCAGCTACTTTATCTGGGCGTGCTATTGCAGCATGAAGCATCAGCCATCCACCCATGCTGGAGCCCACCAGAATCTGAAAAAGAGAGAAAATAAGAGATTACTTTACAGGAAATGGCTAGTAATTTTTTTCTTCTGTTACAAGTTCTTTTTGTTTAACTACTTAAACCTTGGGCATAATCCTGCTGTCCTTACCCAGGCAGAACTGCTGTCACCTCCAGTGGGAATTTTGCCTGAGTAAGCACCATAGGATCTGGTATTTTATTATTCTTTTTGTTTGGCATGGCTGGTTATTGCTGCCTGAGACTGAAATGCTGCAAACAAAATGAGAGTTGAAACAATTCAGTATCACATATATACTTTATATTTCTTTCTTAGAATAAATGCACATGGTAAAGGCTCAGTGTAGTGAAAGAGGTTAACAAAAGCAATTCGTAATACAAAATAATTTTAAACACAACACTAGGTATGGCATTTCCAGGTTGCAAGAGATTTTAAGTTTCTTACAGTCATTTCTAAAGTAACTGAAGAACTCAAGTGCTGCTTCTGCTATTTTTTGTAAATTATTTAATCATATAGAGTCTTGAGCAGCATGGTCTAGTGTGAGGCATCCCTGCCCATGGCAGGGGGGTTGGAACTAGATGATCTTAAGGTCCTTTCCAACCCTAACCATACTGTCATTCTATGATAGAGTATCTTAACTTGTAACATTCCTGCAAATCCTTTAATTAATGTATCAGAATGGGGCAGTGACACACTTTTCACTAAGAGGGATGACAGCCCTACTCAGAGCAGAAGGCTCTAATAAACAACCTCCAGGAGGTTCTGCCAACCCATGTTTCCAAGATCTTGTGATCCACCTGCTTGCAAAAGAGGTCTTGTGAATACGACCTCTCAAATGAGTCAGCCTGAAAGTGAGCAGGTGGCAGCTGTTAAATAGAAGCTACTGTTGACCAGAGGTATTACGGCATATTTTTGATTAATGTTCTATCTTGACAACAAAAAAGCATTCTATATTTAAAAATAAAATATAACCTGTGGTCCATCTGTAAGTTCATCCAGTATACACAGAACATCTTTTCTCCACTTCCCAAATGTACACTCTTCAAATTTACCACCTGAACTTCCACATCCTGTATAATCAAATCTGAAAAAGAAACCATCAAAACAAAAGTCAATGTACTGTCTACAGCAATATAGAAGCTACCTAAATATCACCATTTAACCAAATTAAACAGGGACAAGATACCACACTGAATATTTTCTTACTTAGTCCTGTGTATCACTAGCACCAGAAATCACATGAAAATAGGTTTAAACACAACACAGACATCTAAGTGATGCCGTGCTCTCTTATCATTTGATACAACAATATCCAGATTAACCAGATTTGTATTTATTGTGACAAATTATATTTTTGTGAGAAATTACCAGCCAAAGAATTCCCCTTACAGACAAAAAAATCCCCAACCAAATACTGCAATTTTAAAGGTATTTTTTTAAATGTACAAACTCTCTTTCAAATGCTACACCCAAGCATGAAGACTTATGAAACTCAGGATTCAACCTAGTCTATCAAAGGAGAGACTCACCAAGCATGTACATGATGTTGTAAAACTGCAGAAGACACTGGGTAACTTAAGATTTGGCAGTTAAGAAGCATTCTTATAGCTGTAACTTAAAAAAAAAAAAAAAAAAAAAAAAAACCCCAAACCCAAAAAAAGAAAACTCCTGGTCCTTTGTGCCTATAGCCTTAATGTAACACATATCACTGGCTAGACTACAAAAACTGATCAAAGAATTTTCTGAGCTGCTTTCAGAATACATTGTCCTCATTTACCTCAGTCTTGCCACAGAAAGAAATGCCTATTTGAAAAAGACACTTCTTAACCTTATGTGTACAGCACAGCATACATTCCAACCCAAATGCCAAAGTCTACACATTTTTGTTATAAAACCCGTCCCCCAACCCATGTTACTACTCTTGTTTTCTCAAGACCAATGTAATTTGAATATACCTGACAAAGGCATGACCTAGAGAGTTGCAGAAATCTTCAAGGGCAGTTGCTTTCTGACCATTCATATTTGAATTAAAGCCTGGAAGGAAGATAACTCCTGGATTCCTGCCTTTTAGTTTATGATAAGCAAGATTTGGTTGATCTGGTCGAGTAAGAAAGCTGACCGATGATTTCAGCCTGCAAACTAATAAAAAGAACTATTCAGTACAACCATCATAAGAACCTTCGCAGAAATACCAGTATGTTATAAAAATAGGATTCAGGAAATATGAGCATCTTATGTGAAAATCAGATGCTTTCGTTCAAAAAAATAATTACCTCCTTTATTTGTTAATGACTAAGTAGTATTGATCAATCTGAAAGGGAAAGCTGAATATGATTTATTCTCAAATCATTAAATGCCAATCACGTATGCAAGGAGTTCACTCAGCAGAGCGGCTGACTGAAGCCAAATGCTAGTATTTTCTACACAACATTTGTATTCATGTTTTATACCACTGAATATGTTTACTCATAGTTTAACTCTTCATTTTTCATTTCCCCCCCCCAACCCAAGACTGAATTTCAAAAAATATAACTTTGTGACTGAGTATGTACTGTAAGTTTACAATGACAAGAGGAGACAAATCCACAAAATCTACACGGATGTACAACAGGGAAGTTCAAAAGTGGAAATTGGGAAAGAATCTTGTGACTAACTTTTCCAACATTATGAACATAAAACAACATTAGCATTGTTTTGGATCAAATGAAATAAATAACATCTAGCCTTTTTCATCATCTCATCAACAGCTATTTCTGTTTAAGTGAAAGATTATTGCCAGGAACACTGAAAAAAGGCTCATTTTAACACTATGCCATGTTAACATCAGTCCTTTTCTCAGATATGAAGCACATAAGATAAAAACCAAAATAAAGCTACATTTTCTGTAAATACAAAGCAATACATTAAACACATCTCATAAGAAGAAAGAGTTGACCATTGTAGAGCTATGATTTTCTCATGCCTCTTCAAAAGAGGCACAGATATCCTATTATATGGTTTGGTGTATTCTTACTGTAGAGGTTACATTATCCCAGTACTCAGATTGTTCTGTTTATCCACAGTGAAAGAGCACTTTGCAAATGTATTTTGCACATAGTTTAAAAATGAAAGATCACCAAGTGCAACTTCTGTCAAAGTAACCTGCAATGTATTACGTGAGAATTTTTCCTATTAGCATAAACTTAAAATTACTTTGCTTTCGTATAGTTCAAGATAATAAACTAGATACATTTGGAAACCAAACACTAAGTTGGACTCTATTATTCACATTAATAACTGGGGGGGGGG